GTGGATTGAGAGTAGATGGCACAAACCTCAAGCTGTCGTTTATATGGATCCACATCTAAAGGGTGCCATCTACTCTGGAAACCACTGCAAATCTCCGGGCCGGTGGCCGCTGCCTGTCGTCGCTCCGCTCTGCTTCAGGCCTAAGCTCCCGCGTGTGCGTGAAGAACGGAAGTGGCTTCAGCTTCGCAAATCCGGGATGAGGTGCCCAAACATGCGATGAGCTGACTGCATGCATTTCCAGAAGCCAAACATCCAGCACCGACAGATATACTTCGATATCGGATTGTTGTTCCAAAGCAAATCCGACAGAAGTTGATGGTCAAAACCACCATCAATCTGCAATGCTCGTATTTTTGATGCGGCAAAACCTGTCGATACGTCGATACACACGTCGTGCGCCGGCTTCGCATCTCGCTGTGTGACGTAATGATGAGGCCCATCAGCCGCTCCAAACAGTCCGACAGGTGCCTGAAAACCTGACAGGACCTGGGGATCTGTCTTCGACCGCCAACAGCTCCCAAAGGATTCGAGTCTGATGTGTTCGGGTGAGCTGGGCGTCTAAGTTGTTTGGAAATGGCTTGGGCTCTGTCCATGCGAGCTGGAGTTACAAGTTCGACGGCTTCAATGGTATCAGCAATTGGCACGAGACAAGTATAAACACAAAGTGCGTTCTCATGGCAATGTTTGGGAAGCTTGGATGCGAGCATCGTGAAGCTGTTGATCTTCAGGGTTGTGTTTTGCCACACGCCAACCCTTGGGCGAAACAATTTTACACTGACATCCAAAGTCTGCGTCACATTGATGCGGGTCAATCACTGCTGGATTATTTGGGTGAGCGGGTGCTTTTTGTTTTTACTTCTTTTGCTCCTGATTTTTTGGCCGTGGATGTGTCTGTGCTGCGTGGCACGTAAGATCCAGTATGTATTCCTCCACCGGGCTGGGTTCCTCCTGTCCCGCAGGTCATTCCTTCCAGCCCTTCTCCGGAGCGTGAGCGACCCTTTGTTTGTGACTGCACACTGGCGGATGGAAGTATATGTGGTGTGGCTTTTGGCACTGCCAAAGCTTTGGCTACGCATATATAAGAGTTCAACCAAAGGCGGCGGACATGATGCAATGTCTGACATATCTATGGTGGCTCTTACAAATGCATGTCCCTGGTGCAAGAATGTGTTTTTCCGCCGCGGAATCATCTCCGCCGCACCCTCAAAGAGGGCCGATGCAGCGGTCCTGGCAGTCGTATCTTTTTTTTTGACATTGAAGTTCCTTAAAATTTTGCAATGCCGAGTATGTGAAGAAGTTTTTGAGAATGTACATCAACTTGTGGACCATGTTGTCACACATGTTTCTTTGCAGCCGCCTGCAGCAAGTTAGACTGAATCGGGCTGACCCAGTGCTCATGTCTCTTTCTTCTTGGGCCCGACCTTTACCGGAGGCGGATGGCAGCCTGCCCAAGCGCCAAGCTGCCGGTAGTGAGAAATTTTTTCCGAAGGGAATTCAGATTCTCACTAAGCTCGCCCTCAAGAATGCCATGGATGTACGTGAGCTTCAGGCTGCAAGCCTTCTCACGGTACAGCTTCCTAAAGACATCTAAAGACAATGCCTTTGTCGAAGGCCACGAAGATCTTCAATGAAGAGCAGGAGAAAGCGCAGTCTTCTGGTGGCGCCCCCCCTGATGGGCAGCCGCATTGTCATGGATGGCATTGATCGACACCTTGAATGGCCTGGGCTTCAGCGACATGTCCATGACAGTTGCTCAACACCGGCGGCTGTCCTGCTATGTTCATGTCTGTAGACTGAAGAAGTGTCCTGATCAGACAAAGATGAAGTTATGCCTTGCGACTTGTGAATCAGTCCGGCCCGTGCTGCAATTTTTTGAGAATCACGTGAAGCAACACAGTGGAAAGGTCTTGCATGGACAAGCACCGAAGGGGGGAAGGGGGGCCTTGAACGTGATGCTCAGCAATTTCTTGATCAACTTTCTGATATGCTCAAAAAAACTATATTTTTTTGGTTTTGGTCCTGGCGCTCTGTCGGCCTGTTTGCTCCCTTTCGCTCGTGATTTTGTTTTCTCCTTTTTGATTGAGTGGGGAGAGGCAGTGCCGATGTTGGGCCAGTGCCCTCTTGGCAATGCTGAGGGAGTGCAGTGAGCACTGTTCAGATCACTTCTGGACAGGTTGGGTCACACACGTATGGCCCTGTCTCAGCTAGCATGCACACATGCGAGAGCTGCGAGAAGAAGACGAAGAAAAAAAGCTGGGTGTCTGGGGCTCTGGGAGCGAGTCTAGAACCGGCCAGCTGATACAATGAGTGCAACCGGCCCCTGGCCCCTGGAGATATACGGATCCCCAAACACTCGTACCCAAACGCTCCGGATTCTGGGCTCTTGGCCTCTCAAAACGCATCCAACCCCTGACCCGAGGATTCGGGTCCGACCCTATTCAATATGGTCCAGGGTCGTGTCTGGGTATGGATAGTCAACCATCACTGGCCTTTTCTCGGTCAAGATGTCAATCCCAAACAGTCCATGTCTGGGATCGCTTTCTTAACCCTGCTTTCTGCTCAACTCGATGCCAGGACGCTTGACTTGACACCCGAAGAACCAAAAGAAAAAAAGGGGAGAGTGCTGAAGGTTCTTTGGGGTGGCCTGTCAAGACAACCCGGGTTGATTGGCTGATGTCAAAGGATCAAACCATTAAAACGAGAGTCTTTTTCTTTGGGCATAGATTAGATCTGAGTAGCCCCTTCATGACCCAAGAATCCGTAAGATCCCCCCTTTCATTCGCCTGCTCCCAATACTCCATGCCCAGCCAAAAGCTTGATGCTCCGAAAAAGGGCTTGGCTGCTACGGCTTTGATGTGGTGTCGAGGACTCACGCCGACCACAGGAGCTCCCCAACAACGCGGCCGCACTGAGACAAGCGGCCAAAAGCTACCCTGGCGCCGCCAGGGCAAGCGCGCCACGCGCGTCCGCCAGCGGGACGGAGGGTCCTGCGGAGGCGTCACGGCTCACGGCGCTCACGGCTCACGTTTTCAGTTCCACAGCGGTTTTGGAGGGTGAATGCTGGACGTCTGAAAGAGGTGGGCTTTCGCAAGTGGTGGTCCAAAATGGACACAACATGTCCCAAGGTTGGGGCAAATAGCACCAAGTTTAACAACAATTACGCACAAACTTCAAACAGGACAACCATGCGACCCCAGCATCAGCTCAATGTTTCAGCAGGCCCAATTTCCACATCCATGAATGTTTCAGGGAGTGCAATTTCCAACACAAAATCGATATTATGATCAAACGCATATACATAACATAATCATCCACCAGATCGGAGCATGTCTCATAGGGGCAATCGCTACCAATGTAATTGCATATATATATATATATATATATATATCACATCATGACATTTCATCTGCGGATGCTCCTATAGTATAGTATAGTCTAGTCTTAATCCAAGCCACAAGCAGGTCGTCCAAACCTCAAATCCGCTGATGCCTTCCGAAACATCTGCCCTGCCTGCAA